AACTCTGTTAGAGGCCTGGGATGAGGAACAGGAGAACATCCGAAAGCGAGAGATTGAGAAGAAGGAGAAACGAGTTCTCGACAACTGGAAGAAATTGATTAAAGGTTTGCTCATAAGAGAGAATCTGAAGAAAAAGTATAGCAATCGCGAAGAGGATAGCGAAGAGACAGACATTGAGAGCGATAATTAACTCGTAAAAGGTTTGTGTGAACTATAATTATAGCAAAACCAATAGATTAAGTGCTCCTTTAATTTGCATAATTTGAAGGCAAATGATAGCAATCACTGAATTCTTTAGGCTTTAAGCGTTTTTTACACAAAAAATTGATTTATTAAAATGAAAGCGTTTTGTATCACAACTACATTAATGGTGTTTTGACTACAAATAAATTACATACAAAATTAATATAACGACAGCTTTCGTAGGAATGTGTGATGATTGGCACGAGAGAGACAATTGTTATTATTGGGTTAATTTTGGGTTAATGGTTGGGTTAGGGTTTGGGTTACAGTTTATGACAATTCAATACCGGTATTAACTCTTCTTTGAAGAGAAACTAATATTTGTTTTAATTGTTTTTATTATTTAAAAACCATTAGATGTTTGAGTGAGTGATTCAATGATTGTTTTGTATATAAATTAAGTAAAAATCCAAATGAATTATGAAAATGAGATATTTATATAAAAAAAAGTTATAAATTGTTATTAAAAATATATTAACGTTATTAATAATTAATAAGTGTTTGATTGCGTGAGTTTCACAAACAGTATTGCATTTCATTTAATTATAAGTTATTAATAATAATAATAATGATTGCATTTAAAACTTATATCGCATTTGTATCCAAAAATCGTCTAATTATTCGTCCGTTAATTAATGTGACAACAATTTAAAGACAATTCTAATGTATTTGTAATTTAATTAATGAACCAAATCATGGTCTATCACCAGAAGCTGACCCATAAAATACATGTTTGAAAAGTGAAATCAATAGAAGTGATAGCATTAGTATTGGGTTAGTCTTACAACTTAATGAACTCAAAGATGCTGTCCCTGAGGCGCCCGACTCGAAGGCGGCCGCTTCGTCGCGATCGGGCCGTCCGTGCATTCGCCACTCTCTGTCCTCTTTGTCCACTCGCACTATACGCGCGTCACTCGACGCCGAAGTGGTCGTCCTCTGGCTGTCGGCCATATAGTCCATGTCATTGCTGTCGCCGTTTCCCACATACACCGAACGCGACTCTTCCTTCAGTAGACTACCGCTTCGGGTCCGCAGTTCCTTCTTCTTCTGCTTACGACTAGCGGCCTGACAGTCAAACCACCACTGGGCTAATCACACCAGCAATACATACATGTTATTATCGATCATCGCTTTTCATATACAGTACATCACTTACCAGTTTGTCGAGGGAACGGAGGTTTAGCTTTAGTGTCCACCTATTTGTTAATTGAATTATTGATTGACTGAATGATTGCGATATATATTGGAAAAGGTGTAAAACAGACCTCAAAGTCGACGTCATTGAAGCGGAAATATTGAGATCCTTTGAAGAAATATGACATTCCGTTCTCCCATTTGAAGGCGCCGTCAATATTGTTGGGCAAACCGTTCCAATTCTTAATGGGTTTCGGGTATTGTTTGCTAACCGGAGGGTCATTCTTGCTATCAAACCTCCAGTACTCGTTACCTATAAAATTATGTACAATTAATTCAATTCATAAACACATTTATTTCTAACAAAGAATTTATGGAAATAACAATAATTTGTATAAATTGAATACCTTTGAAGAAATATGACTTTCCATTACCACTCCATACAAATGCCGCATCGATTTTGTCAGGAATGCCGGCAAAGCCAGTGCTAATAGGTTTTGGGTATCCCTTATCCATTCGCATATTCTTGAATCTCCAATACTTATCGCCCTATTATTTGTGCCAAAAATAATAGTCATTTTGACAAATGATTGATTGATTTTAATTGAACGCTTCGATAACTCATAATATTTTTGTTTTATTATTAATATTCTGTTTCGTACCTTAAAGAAGAATGTCTTGCCGTCAGCCCATGTGAGTACAGCGTCTAAATTGCCGGGCAATCCGTCCCAATCACTCGAGATCTTTCTCGGATAGCCGTCCGCCAAACCATTTGTCTCTACTTTCCAATAGTGAAGGCCTTTGAACACAAATGTTGTGCCGTCGCTAATACGGGTGACCGCATCGATGGTACTGTCTTGACATAGATCTGGTCCGTCAGCGCTGGGGTCCGGGTCCAGGGGTTTAGGTTTTTCCACGGGTTTGTCAGCCGGATCGCTGGCAGTGTGTCGAACACCATATAGGGCTTGAATGGCTAGAGTGTCATCTTGGTGCAGTTTGAATTTGGGTTTATATTTTTGGTAAAACGGAGCCATCAATGAGTCCCTAACGCTGCTGTGGCCCAACCCTAACGAGTGACCCAACTCATGTGCCGCCACTTGAAACACATTTGTCCCTATATTTATGGATACATTAATTATGAATTAATTGGCCCTTAATTATAAGGTATAAATGAATGTTGATTGAACGGACCGGCGTATGAAGAGATGGTCCAATACTCTTCGTTGTCGAAGTGAGCGTCTCCTCCGTATTGAGGGAAGTATGCGTGCGCTAACGTATTGCCGGGTCCGTCAAACGGGTCTCCATCGCCGTGTTCTGCGCTCACAAAGCGTATGTCAATGTGAACGCGACCCTCCTTTTTGGCCTCAAACGAAAGTGGTGTCACTTCTGACCATAGTTTGAATGCTTTCGCTATTTCTTTGTCGATCTCTTGTTTTTTATTGAGAA